TTGTACCCCAGTTGTAGGTTTTCATTGGCATTATTCAGTCCCAGTGTCCATCGCTGAGCTGAAAGATTCCTGGAAACACGGGAGCAGGAGAGAACATTTTATTTTGCAGAAAGCTGGATTATTGAAGGAGCAGGATGGCCATAAACTTGCTGGTATAGCTCACTGCATCAGTTTGTTTGTCCCTCCTGAGCTGAAATGTCAATTGCTGGAGCAGCTCGTAGAGTAAACTCTAGATTTTATTTAGGTCTGGATGGCAACTTTATGGGTGAAAAAGCAGCTGTTTACAATGTGGAAGTCATCAAACTTTCTCAACCTTCCCCAAGTGGGGTCGCATTTTAATTTAAAATAAAAACAAATCTGACTTCCTGAGTGATGACATTTAAACATTTCAGAAGGCCCGATGCTTATTTATGACTTTGGCTTCCCCTCCGCTCTTTAGCTCCTCGTCCCCTGCTCTTCTCGTTTGTCTCCTTGTGCAATTTCAGTGTAGCCCTGACAGTTTATGTCCTCTCTCCTTCTTTAGCTTCTCAGTCTGCTTCAGCTCGAACAGCCGTCCTTTTCTCTCTCTCCTGGTTGTTCACAGCCTAATATCCAGGCTCCTGCTGAGAGGCGGTGAAATGAACAGGGGAAGAGAAAATTGAAGTCCATCAGTCACCAACAGTGTGACTGCTGCTTTTAAAAGTGGTGGGCTGCCAAGAGATCAGATTGACCTTTCAGCTTTGAATGTGTGTGTACCTGGTAATCTACTATTTGGATGGGTCAGCCAGTGTCTTCAAGATGAGACCTTTTCGTGACTATGAATAGCAACACACATACAGACACACACGCATGCGCTCACACTGTAAAAAATTACAGTCACACAAATGCTCTTTTGTGTTCATTTTGTCATCTTGTTTTTCAGAAGCTAGATTAAGCAGAGACAGAAAACTAGATACTGAAAGGGATGTTGGGGAAAGAAGAACACACACACACACACACACACACACACCCGACAGAAGGTGAGATAAATGAAGGAAGGTAGCAGTGATGTTTCTCTAAATGAAGTGTCATACCTGTCCTGGACTGGTCTCGCTTCACTGACTCGAGACATTAATCAGGAGGCGTCCTGCAGGGGGTCACTGTATGTACAATAACACAACTACACACACTGCAGTATTTACTACAGTTTTTTTGATGAATGCATCCAGATTCCTTTAGCTGGGATGTCTAAAATCAGCGTATATGCATTTGTCTGTTTGCATAAATGTGAGTGGAGCGTGGACACGAAACAGCCTCCGTTCATTTTAAGGAAAACTGCTGTATTGGAAGTAGTCGGCTGCCAGTTCAGAGGGCTCACCCTGAAAATATCTGATACTTG